ATGTCAGCAGGAGACCACCAGGAGAGGAGGCCGTCGCACCCGAGAGTTTTGTTCGTTTTCACGACAATGATCATGTCCGCAACAGCGTTGAGGAATTCACGGTCGTGGCTGACCTACAGCGCACGGACGGGGTAACGACATCGCGGACAAAGGGAGACTCGCACCGTGACAATCGTCACGCCTTCCAACCGGGTTTGGATAAAGTTTTGCACCCACTGGATGCGAGGAAGGTCCAAGTGGTTGGTCGGTTCGTCCAACAAGAGCAGGTTCGGCTGGAGAAATTCAATCTGGGCCAAGAACACGCGCATCTTCCACCCCCCAGACAGCTCGTGGAACGGGCGATCGTGCTGCTCCACGGGCAGTCCTACCGATGCGCTTGTCATATCCCATGCCATAAACTCCACGGAGACGGCGAGTACCAATGTCCACGAGGATTTCACGCGCCCGCGGTTCGTTCGACATGTCCTCTTGCTCGTACAGTGACTCGAGCCAGTTGTTAGCGGCTAGGATCTCGTCGTCCGTGTCAGGCGGTGGGTTGGAGCTGGCTTGATCCCATGCGGCTTTGGCTACGGCCACGTCTTTCTCGAGCGCCAGCAGCTTGTTCCGCGCCGTGAGGCCGCGCAGACCGCTCCGTTTGATCGCGACGCGCTCCATCTTTGCTCGGGCCGCTTCGACGGCCTCATATTCGAGCTGCTTCAACGTCTGGTGCAGCGTTTGGGTCTCGAGGCCGGCTTCGAGCAACTCGATCATGTGCTGACGGCTGACGCGCTGCTTGTCGCCACTCAGCAGCACGTTCACGACAGACAGCTCTGGGTTTTCCAGGTCGACGTGAAACAACTGGTGGACGTACATGACGTGAATGTGGGACGAAATGCCTTCAAACAACCCGTCGCCGAGGGCTTGCAGCAGCGTCGACTTGCCTGTGCCGTTGCGACCCACGAGGCCGTAATGCGCACCAGCCTCGAGCTTGAGCTCGGCGTCCACGAGCAATTCTCGGTTCCCAATCGACAGGCCAACCTGCCACAGGTGGATGTTGTAGTCGTGGTGGTCAACGGTGGCCAAGTGGAATCGATCTTGCTGCGACCGTGCCATGATAAACGAGGACACACCGCCGGGCGACGCGGCTGCTTTGCGGGACGATGCGCGCGACATGGCTCGTTCGCGCCGCGCGACGAAAGTCAGGCACTGCCTCAGTTGCACAGTCACGCAGTGGGGCCATGGAAACTTCCGTTGCGGATTCGATTGGAGTGAGATGGGTGTAAAATGTTGGTTTTACGGAATGATGGTGGATGGACCGAATCCAGCGGCACTGGACGAGCTGGGGTACATGCCAGAGGGGGGGGCGGGCTGAGAGGCCCTCGATGTTTGCTGGCAGCTTACATTGGTGTGAGGCCAACGACGTGGATGCTGCTCTTGTGGAGCTCGAGCGAAGTCGTCGCCCGCGCAGTGACCTGTGCCTTCACAGCAGCATACTGGGCCCACAACATACTCGAAACAAGATGTTGCATGCATTTCGCGAGCTCAGCGGAGATTATGGTGGAGCATGGTCGCAGCAACGAAACACCAGCGCAAAGTCCTCCTGGATGAGTTTGCATGGAAGTACCGGGACGCGCACTTGTTTGAGACCGCCGTCGACTTGAACGACGACTTGGGATCGTCTGCGGGTCTGTATCTGTCTCGCATTCAGTCGTGGCTCCGACGCAACTGCGCCGACGGCGCCGGACTGGCCCAGCACATCCATGCCATGGCCGTCTTCTTGCGTGGCCCCATTCTCCAAGAGTTTATCGACGTACGCATGCAATCCCCGAGCTCCATTTTTGGCAAACCTCTCATGCAGATGGAAGGCGTTCCTTTGTTGCTTTACGTGTTGTCGTTTCCTCCGCAAGCTGTCAGCGATGCCGACTGCGCCGCCGTGATCCACCTGCTGCAAACATCGGGGCGGTGCGGACGGGCGTTCAAGGAGTACATCAGTCACTGTGGCGGGGAGCGCAGCGTCGTGCAGTGCTGCCTGGCTCGAAGTACGTCCAACGTGCTGTACCATTGCGACGTTTTGTCTTCGACTTACACGTCGACACAGGCCCACAAGTGTCGTGCGAGAGTGTGCTGTGGCTGACGAGCCTCGCGATGCTGCTGGAGCAATGCTGCGGGAACCCCAACTCCACCCAGGCGACATTCGCGGCGCTCCATCTTTTGTTTGATAGCGATCACGTCAACATGATTCGCATGGCGTCGCAGGTCAACTCAACCTTGCCGGACACTCGCTCACCGGATGGTGAATGCTCCTAACTGAACATTGTAGATTGTGCGCGAGCTTGTGGCCACTACGTCACCACACTACGACGCCCGCGTGGCGGAGCGCATTTGGGACCTCGTACCCACGGCCATGACCCTACTGACCCACGAGAGCTGCAAAGTGCAGTTCGAAGCCCTTGAGCTTGTCTACGTTTTGGTGCAAAACTCTCCCAAGCACGTACGACCGACCAGTTCCTCACCCGCAGCGCTTTCCTCACTCCTTTGCTGGGCAGCATGCCTTGTGCTCTGTGCTGGCTTCGCGAGGCGGCTATCAAGCAGTACATAACGACTCCAGTCCTTCAAATTTACAGTTGTCCAAGAAGGACACGCACCGCTGTGGCGCCGACCACATCAAAATACCTCGCCACGGCCAGCTATGTGAGGAGGAAGTCAGACGCCTTCGCTTTCGGCGACGTTTTTCCACGACCACCTCCCAGTTCCAACGCGAATACAGTCGCGGGGCCGCACAAGTGATTGTGAAGATCCCAACTCGGTCCCATGTCGGGGGGATTTTGGGAGTTCAAGTACATTTACACCACCTCGAAAGCAATTTGCAGAACAAAATGATGGCTGGCTAGAACATTTTGATTCAACAGGTTCTCTCCAATTCAACTAGTGAATCCAGGCAGATCATTCCAGCGAACGACCTGTTTGATTCTCACAAGATGCACTTACACAACATATACACTTGGTAATGACAACACCTGCGGTCCACAATGACGCGTGCTTAGATGCCGCACCACACCGTGCCGTACGAAGCACTGTAGTAGTCGCAGTCGCTCCGTGTGTACTCGGGAGGCAAGCACTGGCTCCCGGCGGGGTAGTAGCACCCAGTACAGCCGGCGCACACGTCGGGTTGGGAGGTCGTGGGGGTAGGCTTGGTGGTGGGGGTAGGCTTGGTGGTAGGGGTAGGCTTGGTGGTGGGGGTAG